CTTCCACATACTCTTAGCACCTACTGAGTGCAAGTGCCCATGTCTAAGAAAAGTAGCATGCAAGTGCTTCCGTTACACTAGTCTCCTTGGGATGACCAGCAGGCCATACAGTCTTGGGGCACAAGCTGCACATTTCATTGGATTACTCTAATGCAGAACACAGCGCAGACTGCATGAACTCCCTTTGAGGAATATACATGCACACAGCCCCTGGAACATGAAGCAAGTGGTCTACCCATACAAAACTGTACTGAGATCAAGTCTTCAGCCTTATCCTGGGACTCCCATGTTCTCTGTATTCAGGTTTACAAAGAGTTGGTAATCCTGCACATAAGACAGAGTCTGCTTGTTTGCTTACTAGGTGTTGCATAATTTAACTGTAAATCAGACAGTAAAGCAGATTATGGAAGCTGGTTGGTGTACTTCCTGAGTCATGAGGGTGTTGAAGTATCGTTCCAAAGCTGAAGTATCCAATGAAACCCTCCCATCAGAAACAGTCTTTAAAATCCTGCTGCTGCAATTGTGCTCTAGTCACCTATAGCTTTACTCATTTTAAAAATTACCATTATACATTTATTGATAAAATGCCTCGTGGATTAAACTAATTGACTCTGATCTAGACTCACTCAACTGAAGTGTTTAGTACTGTATCACAGAATCACAGAATGGTTGAGGTTGGAAAGGACCTCTGGAGATCACCTAGTCCGACCCCCCTGCTCAAGCAGGGTCACCTAGAGCAGGATGCCCAGGATTGCATCCAGACGGCTTTTGAATACCTCCAGGGACGGAGGCTCCACAACCTCTCCGGGCAACCTGTGTCAGTGCTTTGTCACCCTCACAGCAAAGAGGTTTTTCCTCATGTTCAGACTGAGCTTCCTGTGTTTCAGTTTGTGCCTGTTGCCTCTCATCAGGCATCTGTAGAACAGAGCCCTGAACAAGGGGCTGTTTCAGAGGCAGGACGGACAGGAGCACTCTGATCCAAGCCGTGATCCATCATAACAGACACTGGCTTCAGCCACCTCATGCCTTCATTCTGGGGTATATGGCTTGTTCCCCTTCCTTCTCCGTGGCCTAGCTTCAGAGCAGTCACCAAATCCGTTGAGGCAACTAGAGTTCAGGAAGAAATGTTACCACATTTGTGTAGTCCAGATGCTTTCCTGCCTCTTATGGGCAACTGTGAGGCTTAGTAAGTCATGATTTGGGCATCCTTGCATTTTACACATCTGTATCGTGAAGAGAAAAGAAATATCACTAAGGCCACCTCTCTTGGAGTGTCAGGCACTGAAAATAACTCAGTGAAAACACACACGTCAGGCACTAAAAACAACTCATTACAGCAGCACTAAAAATCGCAATTCAAGGTGAAGTACTTTAGTGCCATGTTACTCCTAGCCCAAAGGACTCCTAGGCCTTTAGTCCACAAAACTTTCTGGCAGGAATACCTTCAGATTACCTTAGATGCTCCCTAATAATAGATAAAATTAGCTCACAAGACATTGCTCATACATCATTTTGAGTTAAAGATATTTCATACAGAAACAACTTGTGGGTCTACTCAGTGACTACCAACTCTAGTCAGCACAACAGACGTCTAAAGAAAATAAGAGTATAAAACACTGAAGAATCAACTTATGGGCTAACACTAACACTGAGCAGTGCCAAGCACAGGCTGAATCACTGGCATATTCTGGCACCACCAGCACTATATGGAGTACTTTGCTGTTACAGGTTTGTAGTGCAACCCCAGAGGCCTCAGTTGATTTTACACAGGGTTTCTCATGTAACTCGTCATCCTTCTGAAGACTACGAAAGGCCCAAAAAGGTTCAGTTTTCAGTGGGAAAGTCACAATCTTCTATTATGAGCTTTCACTTTCTTTTACTGGATACTGCAGTCTTCACAATTTCATAATATTCTGGGCCTGGTGCCAGCGACCCACCGGCTACATCTGTATAGGTAAATTAAACATATCAGGGAACATCCCCAGGCACTGGAAAACAATCATCTAAACCAACAAATTGTTAGAATGATGCCCAGCACAGTTTCAGGCCTTTCCAACCAGTATGCCCCCAAACAACATGTGGGAACGTTCCTCAATAGATGATTTGGATGCAGTGGTGGGGATGGGGGTTTTAAGGGATGGGAGTAAGACAATAAGATCTCTGTATGGTTGTAACCCTGTGACATTTCAGTTGGCCTCAGGACAGAACAGCTCCCAGCCTGTTGCACTTACCAGAACAGGTATAATAGTGAGTCCTTAGATCCTTTTTACTCTCTTTGGCTGTCCGCTGGGGAGAAGGGGGCATACTGAGTGTTTAGTATCTTTTCTGTTGCAACAGTAACAACTTTAATTATTCAGGATCACACATTCCAGTTCTGCAGCGAGAAGGTCACATATCAGCATGACTACAGGCTGCAGACTGAGGAACTTTTAACAGCTTATTCAAACACACTTCACAGCAGAGGCGATGCTGCTGGAGGATTAAGTTAGCAGCTTCCCTGTTCGAGGCCATGAGTCAGTTGATGTAAGAGCACGATAGCAGAGCACTCCTCTGCCACTGCCTAGACATGCCAGAGTCAGCCCTTTGTTCGGTGCTTTGTTCACTGATGGGAAAATAGTCACGATCTAGATGATCCCTCCATTAGGACAGAAAAGAGATTCAGAAGTCAAAGCTGTCTAGCTGCAGGCTGTTCAGCAAGTTTCGGTGCAAGCCTCATTTTTCTACCGCACGTAGATGCCACTTACACCCTGTTCGAGCTGGTGAGGTGGACAAATCTCATCTGGCCATCAAATTTGCCAGTGTGAGTCTCTACAGTTTCATAAGCCCAGAGCAGGGAGGAAAAACTTCACATGTTATTACTGTTTGCGTCAGACATGAATTCAAGCAAGCTTTGCAGTTGCTCTGGTTTGGGCTTTTATTCCCCTCACTCCCAGCTTTTTGACGAGAGCAAGTCTGTGCTCTGCCACTAAATAAGGATACCTATCTGTTTTAGCTGCTCAGCAGGGTAACAGGTCATCTCTTCCACAGAGATGCTCTTACCCCAGACTGACATCCGGGTAAACAGACAGGCTGCTCTCAGTTCCTGCAGCTGTGCAGACGCAAGCATGCAAAGCTCCCAAGACCACCCGCTCTGGGGTTAGGGCACAGTCTCCAAATCCTGCTGTAAGCCAACATCCAGACAGGGAGACCTACACATGTTCATCCAAGCTACTGGTTTCAAAGCATACAATAAGACAACACAAGCCACAGAATATCTGCTTCCAGCATACGCTATCTTGATTTTAAAAGGCGCACAACTCACATTTCTTTCGAGGCATTTCAGAGCCTTACCCTACCGGTCCCCAACAAACTACAGATCCACTGCTGACATTCGTTTCATGTAACAGGTAAAAGTTGTAGTCTACAGAGCAATATTTAGACTATGAAAGGCTACAATGAACTGGTCAACAAGAAGAATATCCTGTTTAATCTATATGTCACTCCCAGCAGAAGTTTTCAGGATGGATAGGTTTCTGTTTTGGGACAGGAAAAAGTCAGGTAGTTTCCTCCTGCAACACTGTAGCTGCTGGTTCTGGTCCCCAGGGAGCACGCAAAGGCTCCCTACCAGCACAGCCTCGGCAGTACCCACTATGACACAGAGCTTCAAAAGAACTCTCATCTGGAAATCGTTATACTAATCACTGCTTGCTCTCCAGATGGTAGACTGGCTCCACTCTCCCCTGCCCACCTCTGGTCTCAATATACAGTCTGCTTTTCTAGTACTCCCTGGATGGAAGGAGCCGGCAGGAGCTCCTGACTGGCTCTGTGAGGATGTGTACTGCCACCAACACCAGAAACTAATTAGAAGAGCTTTCCTGTGCTCAGTGTGGGACAGTCAGGGCCTGCAGAGTGGCCCAGAAAGCATTCAGCACTCCCTCCTTAAAAACTGAATTGAGTTCAAGTTTCCTTCCATTTAAGGGGCCATAAGCTCCCCATCACGTGGGGCAAGCAGACAAAAGAGCAACCCGTTCTCCAGCTATGGCTTGTATCCACCAAGGTGATGGAGCCAGGGCATGCAGAAGCTGTTGCATGAGCCAGGCAGTACCTTGCAGAAGGCCAGCTGATAGGAGCATGCACTTGGGACTGACTACAACCATAATCAAGACAGTCAGCATGTGTTCCCATAACAAGCATACAGCACATTGCCATCACAGCAAACAAACCCGGAACATGCAAACACAAACCCTGTAGTTCATGCACACACAAAGAGCCGTTTGCTTCAGTAAGTACTAAAGCTACAGGGTGGAGCACGACAAGAGGACAAAGCCGCCATGAAAGGCAAGATTCCTATAACTATTTAAAGTTGGTTGGCAGGCAGTTTCCCATCTTTTTATTAGTGTGCCTTAACAGAAACAAAGGAAAACATGATTAACCCTATTCCTTTTGTACAATTCAGTCTAGTCAGGAGTCATGCTGTGACAGCAATCCTGAAGAGCTTCCAGTCATGAGAAAAAACCTGAACACTAGGAAGCAAAGCGAGTAGACGCTCAAGTGAAGCGTACTGCAAAATAAGGGCTACAGAGAAAATGGTACCACCAGACAGCATGGCAGCCAGATGCCTAAATGAAGCATCATGAGTTTCTGATTTGAAATTATGAGTTACAACATCTCCATGACTCAGTTGCAACTGCAGCTTCAGTGACTCAACAGGAAGTTCTGTTACCAACTCCATCCAAATCCTACTAACACACTGGTTCCCATCCAGCAAAGCTGGCCTCACTGGTGAGACAGGTCTCAGCAGCGAGATACAAACATTACCGTCAAGCATGGCAAGAAGCCCAAGCTAACAGACTCTGTTGGACCCATGCCGGTTCCACAAGACCCAGAACGTCGACTGCAGCCAAGCACTGCTTGAGAAACTGAGCAGTTGGGAAACCGCTGCATTAGCGGATGTTGCTCCACAGGAGTTGCTTGTAGGAGGTCCAAATGTTATCTCACCTTTCTGCACTGTGAAACCTCACCTCAACTTTTCCACTGGCATCTCCACAGTAGAAAGTGCACTATCCCAGGTTTCTAGCCAGACCAGATAAAGCTCGTTTCTGCGGTACACCAATAGTCTAGAAGAGCAGTAGTTCAAACAAAGTATACTAGTCAACACTAACTTAAAGACCTGTTAACAAAACTGACACTTAGCACTGGAAAGGAGATGAACCTCCCTGATCTTTGCATTTTAGAATACCTTCTTAACTTTGAAGATAAAGGAACCTATAAGAAGCATCAGAACTCCTTGTAATGTTGCTCAAAATAACTTCTACTTTTCAAGTCCACTGCCTGTATCAAAGTCTAGAGAAGAATAAAAATGCCTCACTTCTGATCTCCAGGTAAACAATGTCTTTAAGTACCAAAACACTCTGATTCCATCTTCACAGTTCACGATCAAAAAAACAAAAACAAAAAAGTATCCACCTATGTTTCTGCTCGTATTTCTCAATTCAGATTGGTGATACAGGACCCAACCATTCTCTCTGCTACAGCCTTCAGCAGAGCAAGGCTATGGTATTGTTTGGAGGCACTGATCCAGATACACTAGAACAGAAGACAGCTGTTGTTCTAGCTGGAAGTTGGTGTTTCCCACTGCTTAGGCTAGTCCTCTTGGCACAGAAAAAGGAACTATCTAGTTTGTTCGTTTCTGGAGAGAGTTACCAGAAAGTTTCACGCAACAAAAAAAGCTATCATCTCAAGCTAAATCGCTCTCAGATTAAGACACTAAAATTAAGGCATCTACGCTCCCCATATAGTCAAAATGGGACGTAGTCAGAGCCTGGACGTATCAGCTTACCTTGCTATCTTTGGCTTCCCTGATGATATCTCCATGATTATAACGAGAGCTTAGGCATTAGCACACACGTTAAGATACCTAATGTACATGTCTACATCAGCTGAACACTGTCCTGAGAGTTCTAGCGCCAGTGAAAGTACCCTATGTCTCAGCAACTACATGGTGTCTTGGAGTCCTGCGTTAATAGCTCTGAGTTCATGAAGAGAGGACAATATCCAAGATGAAAACCCTAAGAAGTAACAGTGCTGAAGCACTGCCATTTTACCATTGACAGCAGCTCCTCAGGAAAGAGGTCCTGTCTTCTCTTTCCCAAGAAGCTCTTCCCTCCACTCCTACAGCAGGCCCTACTAAAATCCCAGATCCCTACATGCCAGATGGCAAACAATTGTGGAACGTGCCTCTCAGGCATTAGGATGGTTCAGCTGGACACAAGAACCACATCAAACAAGATCAGGACAAAGTGGAGGCCACCTGGAGACACCTAAGCACTAGCAATGCAAAACACATACTTAAAATGGACCAATTTTGCTGCTAAAACAGCAGCCTACATTTCAGGTTAGTGCACTAGCTTAATTTTAGAAGGCTTACAGGTTCCTTGCACTTGCTGTAACTTGTCTCAGGTTGTTAGAGAGGATTGTTTAGTTTCCAGAAGTTTCATAGTGCTGCCATTAGAAACATTATCTCTTCTAGCCACCCCTACCTGAAAGAAACCTAGAGTAAAAGACTGCAGACTTGCACCAAAGTCCCCTTATATAATAGAAATCGCAGCTTATTTGTCTCTGCTCTAATTAGAGTTGACTAGATATGAAATACTATTATACGGACAGGTAGCCATCAGCAAGCGAGTGTCCACATGGAGAAGTGCTGTTTATAGTGCTTGATAAATAGAATAAGGTGACAGTGTTCTGCATGCACTACAGAAGAAAGTGGTTCCTCCTTACCCACTGCCTACATGTTTAATAAGAAAGCTGGACTACTTAATGTCTTCTAATTTACATTCAGAATGACATCACCCTTGGAAAAGGGTTCTGCCTGCCCTACTAAGCTTGCGTTAGCCACCAGCACATACTTCACTAGATGAAGCAATCAAAACCCTGTTTTCCTCAAGATACAGTCTGGATTGTCCACTGCCTTCCTGCAACAGGCCTATGTATCTTGGCACAGCTAGCTTCACGGCAGGGATATACTGGGCACCAGTTTGTAGACGTTTCCATTTAAGAGTATAACCATGTTAATCTGTTAAGACACATCAACCTTCTTATTTCAAGGAAGAAAACACAGGCGCCCACTAAAGCCACCTAGTACTTTTACATACAGGAGAGTAATCTTGCTGTTTTGATAAAGGACTTGGGCAGGGACTTGTGAACAGTTGGGCAGGGTACAGACCATGCTGAGAGGCAACCACCACATTAGGGAGTTTGGTGACAGCAAGCATCCTCCTGGGTACCCAAGCCAAGCACGGAGATGTTGCTACATTTGCCCCATTGCTACCACCAAAACTTGAGCTCCACAGAAGCAGGGCTCTAGACTGGAGCTGGAAAAGCAAACATCCCTTGCACATACCTCTCAAGTCCCTACTCCTGGCCCCACCATTTTTAAAAAGAGCAATTACTTTCATACAAGATGTTTTGAGCAATAAAGCACTATCCTGAAGAAGATCAGAAACCCCTTTAACCATTCTTGCAGGTAAGACTACTTGGAAAGAAAAGCAGCGTTGGTCCTTGGTCACTTTCTTGTTCCTGCTTATTACTTCTGTGACAATGTACATAGACAACTTAAGTTAGCAATAGCCAAGGGTCAAGGGATGTGCAAGAGGCAGTGATACACTTCCCAGTACTCAGACCATCAAGAACCAAGCACAACCACACCAGTGTCTCCAACACTGATCTTGTACATGCAGAGGACTTTGCAACGTCATTCTGCTTTCTGTGTCCAATGCTGAATTTTTCTGTCACTTGATAGAAATGCATAATTACTCCAGACTGGTGGAAAGGGAGCTCAGTCCGTGTCACTGACATTTCGACATGGGAAAAAAGGCCACGTGATCCACAGAAGGGAAGCAGCCTCAGCACTGAGTCACCACCGAGAGCTTCAAGGACTTCTGCTCCATGTGTTCACTCAGGACTCCCCAGGATCTGAAGCGTCATCCAGGCCTGAGTCTCTCTTACATGGAGGAAAATTTCCGAACAGCAGACACCTCAGGTTTTTATCATCTCTAACAAGAAACGTTTATCATGGCGGGGAATTTCATCCAATTGCACTACAGGGGCTGCAGGCAAACTGCAGGTTTTTTTTTTACTTTACTCAGTAGAAAGCCTATTCAGAACCAGAAGTAATGAGCAGAACTCTCTTCCCATGAAGCAGGACTGCTTACACTCACATGCTTGTCATTTTTAGCCATCTCATGGGCTAACTACTCACTGTCACGTGGTCTAGAAGGGTACGTATCCAGATCTACAGGTTGAGCTCAGATACTGAGTGGTATAGTTCATCTCCCCACAAGTTTCAGATTAATTATTTCCTTTCAGAAAGGAAAGGCACCTGTTTTGAATTCGATGATCCTGCCTACTTAAATGAGGCCTCATGTTCCACTTCCTAACTCATCCACAGGGCAGAAGTCTTCACAAGCGATGCATACAGAAGCCTGGCACATGCAGGAGAAGTGCAGGGTGCGAAAAGGGCACAGTGAGTTAGGCTTTGTGCTCCTCAAGAGGTGAAAGCAGCACTCCTATCCCACATATGCTAACCCCGCACAAGGACTAAGCTCAGCCCAGGCCCTCAGCACAGACCTGAAGCACCAAAGTGGAGCACACTTTTGCAAGTGTGAAATGCCAGATTTCTGTGGAAAGGCCCTCAGCAGGCAGAACAGACCGGGGGAGCAGTGGGAGAGGCATCCTCTATTCATGGATGACATCTGGTGGCTGCTGCTGCACGGAAGCAGAAGTTTCCGAGGCTGAAACACCGTCTGCAGCCCTACAGAGCCTCTCCACAATTCCCCAGGAAAGCTGTTCCTGAAGGACTTTTGACAAAGAGCAAGCCTCGTTAATGCTGTGCTATTAACTATGTTCAGAAGGTGCAGATTAAATCAATGAGAGCAGAACTGGGGAAGGCAATCGTGCCAAAGCCCTGGTTAGCTGGATTTGATGCTTCAGCTGGAGGGACCGGTGGGGCAGGCAGCACGCTGCTCACCTGGGAAAGCAGAGCTCGTTTTTACATGGGCTGCTGGAAAGCAGAGACATCAGGGAAGCAGAGGTATTCATGTGCCAGGCCAGCCACCCCGGATTTTTCACTTAGTGGGCAGAAACGTCAAACATCCGGGCATACCCTCCGCAGGCAAAAGGCTCTCTGGGCACAATGGAGGTTGGGGACGAGCTGACTTCCCGAGGTCCCCTCCAGCCTGAATTATCTCACGAATGAGGCAGGAGCAAGCCTGTCTCCGGAGCTGCCCGTGCCAACCGAGCGTGCCAGCAGAGTCCCCGGCCACAGGTTACCCCCAAACGGCCACATCCGAGCTCTCACCCACACTTCACGTCTCCCGTGCAGACCACGCTGGAGGGAGGAGGGCCTGAGCGCCCTGCCGGCCCGCGGGACTCAG